GGTCGCCCGTGTGGCTCGTCGGCCTTGTCGGGGCGCTTGAGGTGGTAGATTCGTTAACGGTGCAACACAGGTCATTACTGTCATTACTATTGGCCACTAGTGCAACTTTCGCAATGGGTTGGTGTTGGGAGATGATGGGTTTCGCAACGGGTTGTTTGCTATCGAGTTGCGCTTGCGGCTGGCGGCCTAGCTACAGTAACGCAACACGGCAGGACTGAGCAATAAGTCACTATGTTCCTTCCTTCCTTCCTTCCTTTTACTGTTTCTTTCACCGTTCCGTCTTTGGGCTCATTTTCAAGTATTAAGTCATTGCTAGTCCATAGAGTATGAAGTTAAACCCTAATGAACAAGCCGTCTGCGCAAGCTTTCATCAACGTTGACTCTATGTACGGCAACACGTTCCCGAGCCGAGCTCAGTGAAGCAATACTGCCCCCATCCAAGCGTCAAAAACTAGGTGGTCACTGCTACCGGGGGGGTCTGCGCGGGTCACTGCTACCCGGATGCAAACATATGTCCCCATCTGTACGATTGGCTATTTCAGCGGTATAGCCGCGGTAGTAGCTGATTGGTGACAATAACAAATTCGGCAGTAGCTGATGTGTAGCTGTGCGTGCGTGTGTGTGTGTGTGTGTGTTGTGTTACACCTCGGTTGCGTTACCCAGGCAGATAGGTGTGTAACCCATAGGGGCCCACACCAGCCGTGAGAGGACCCAACAGCCTAGGGGCCGCAAGTAATTAGATGCCACTGTCAAATATTGTCCAAAGGTCAATACGGTGGTCAGTCACATCACATCATAGTAGGGGGATCACATCAAACAAAGGCCCCGCCGACCACCTCTGCTCTGAGGGCCGCTCTGAGCAATCCGAGTAAGATCCACTACTCCGACCCCCTACACACCCACCCAAACCCCCACCCCCCCCACACCCACCCACCCAATCCACACGCACCGTGATGTCCTCCACTTGCAGCTCCACCGAATGTGCCGAATGCAAGTGTAGGGCCATACGACCCCGGCACATGAGCAGGGCCAGCGTCCCACAAACCGCTCCAAGGCTCAGCAGCAGCGTGAGGATAGTGATGCCGGTGGGAGACTGGACCCAGGACTTGCGCTCTTGCGGCACTTCGCCATTCGGTGGAATGGGCATCACCAGGGCCTTATCCGCCACATCCAGCGGCAACACGGCCATCAGGTCTCCCTCCAACACCTGGGAGTGGGTGTGTGTGTGCGTGTGCGCGGCGGGGGCCGGGGAGGAGGCAGGGAGGGAGCAGCCACGTCTCTACGTGTCACGAGTAGGTAGGTAGACCGGTAGCAGAATTCCACGCCGTGTTGTTGTTGTTCGGCGGAGGGCTGTGTAACTCCTTTCGTTCGTTCGTTCGTTCGTTCGTTTTGGCACCGCTCCGCTTTGGCGATGTATGTTTCTTTTGTGGAAGTGATGTTCCCTTATCTTACTTCCGAGATTACATGACATTGCATTACCTCAGCGCCCATTATATACCCCCCCCCGGCATACATACATACAGACCACCTGCGCGTTCCCCCACATCTCCCTCCCTTCCTCCCCACCTGAGTGACTATGACGGGGTGGTAGATGTTCTGACGGTAGCCGTTGAAGCCCACGGGGCCAAAGAACGTATCCATGTTCAGAGTGTTGAGCACATAGCTCAGAATCGCGGTTCCGGAGCGCCCTGTGATATCCAGCGCGCTGTGCTGGTTGTCCACGCACGAAAGCGCGCCCTCATTCCACATAAACGCATCCGCGGCATCTCCCTCCGTCCCTCCGGCGCCGCCAGTCACATTTCCCAAGCTGCACATGGACACGGCATGCCGCAACGCCGTCAGCAGCACGTAGCCGCCGGCGGTGGCGGCGGCACTATAGTGGGAAGGCTTCTGGCCTGTCGCGGCGGTGAAGGCGGCGGCGTACTGCGCAGCCGTACCGAAATCCGGATCCGCGTATGGCAGGTTGGGCATCCATTGTACGGTGGTCAGTGCGTACTCTCCGTGACCATCTAGGAAGTGCAGAAAGTCGGCGACGTCGCCGGAGGAGGCCAACCAGAGGGCCGACAGCCGGTGGCCCAGGCTTCGGAGCTGATGGACGAGCAGTCCGGTGCGGTCCATGCCGTCACAGGCGATGAGCACGTCCGCGTCCTCGGCCGCCACTCGGGCGCCTGGTGATGTGATGTGATGTGCAGCACGACGTGTATGGGGCGTGGGGTTGAGAGCTATGAGAAGAGGTTCACTTGGAGCAGAGACGGTGGGAGGAACCGAACAAGTGGTATGCGACGACGGTGGCGGCGGCGGTAAGGTGAGACTGAATTTGGGGGGCCCGGGAAATACGCCCCGCGCGCGCGTGTGTGTGTGTGTGTGTGTGTGTGTGTGTGTGCAGTTTCTCACTGCACCGTTTAGCGCCAACACACCGGTTAGGTGTGCAAGCTGCTCACCACTGCGACTCACATTACTATCACTGTCGCTACGGAGACATCGCTCAAGTAGTCGGGTAGGGTAGGGTAGGGTAGGGTAGGGTAGGGTAGGGGATGTGGGGGAGGGGGATGTCCCCGAAAGTAAATGGGCTGAATGACAAGTGCCCAACTGAACTGAACCCAAGTGAACCACACACGAACGTGTGGAAACAGCATTGCAGTGAGTGGCCCTTTCTGCGGTCCCCTGGTGGAGAGGAGAGCCGACCCGCCTCCTGGATCTGGTCCCCTCCCGTTACCGCCGGCACCCCCCCCAAGTGGACGAGAGGGGCCCGTGAGGCGACATGGGATTGCATTTCGGAGTATTGCCCCCCAGTTGCCCCTGGGTTGTTAGTTGGGAGCCCCTCCACGGCCCGCTTAGAGCTCATCCCGTGTCGGGCGGATTAGCCGGCTGAACAGATCATGTGGCCGATATGCCCGCAAAAGCCAAGAGGGCCCTCCACCAAGCGGCCCTCTAAGCCCAGCTCTCCATCTTGCCCAGCTCTATCTATCTATCTATCTATCTATCTATCAGGAGGAGGCGGAAGCGCACCTTCTTTCCAAGGGAGGGAAACCATTTACGAACGTAGCCCTGAACCGCCACTGCCCGATTGGCTGGTCAGATTTGTGGCCGGCCCCCCCCCCCTCCACGACTTTTGCCTTCCTAGCCCCCTCCCCCTTATGGCAGCTACCCCCCCCCCCCAGTTGCCCACCCAAGTGCAATTCCACACATCCGGGTACCGACATCCTTTCGCCCCCCTCCCCTCCCCTCCTCTCCCCCAGGGCGGGACCGGACTGACTTATCGCGGGCCAGAACCCCGGCGACTCCGCCTCGGCCGCAGAGTAGTTCACAGCCAGCACTCCGCTAAAGCCGGGCCGCAGCTCCCCCAGCGGCCGCAGCTGTGCCAGCGCCCCCTCGCACAGCTGCACGTGAAGCGGGGACTCCCGCGTATACACGACCGCCACTCGCTGAAGGCCCCGCAGCGCCATCGTGCGCAGCACTGTGCCGGTGTATAAACTCGCAGGGGTGAGCAGACCGTACACGTGCCGTAGGCCCCGGTGAAACACTGTGTCACGTGCCGTACAGCAGTGAAGGAGGAGGCGCGACGCGGCGTCTGCCTGAAGAGCATCTTCCAGCGCATTGTCCCCGTTGCCGCCCAGCACCAGGTGCACGGGCGGCTCAGCTGGGGCGCCGGTTGTGGGGTCAGCGGCAATGCCGTGGATGAGGGAGGTCATGGCGGCCGCCCTGCCTTCCTCGGTGCAATTATGGGATATCAGCCGAAGCTGCATGCGCAGCTCGTATGGCTTCCCAGAGGCATCCGTGACCACGGCTGGGGGTTGTTGGGCCAGCCAATCGAAGAAGAACTCATAGCCTCGGGCGATTTCGTCGTATAACGGCCCGCAAAAACCTGAACATGGCATTGCGGGAGGGAATTTTAAGAGCAAGAAAGCACAGACATCCATCTTTCAACGGCTTTGTCGTGGTTTCAACCCGGTTAAGCATAGTAACCGAGGTGAAAAGAGCGACTCTGGTCGTCAGGTGGAGATGATCAACATGATTTTAAGCTGCTGACCACATGTCCAAGGACTTTCCTGGAGGAGATGATGGCGACAAGTCCATGGTATGCCTTGACCGAATAAGGACGAGCTTACCATCGCGGCCGATTGTCGCTCCAACTCGGAATGTAAGATCTTGCGCTGAAGTACAGGGCGCGACAGAAAGAAATCCAAGCAGAACGAGAAAAGAGTGATAAAGCGCCTTTTGCATTGTCCGCTGTTAAAGCCAGCCACTAGCTGCTGCAGACTCTTTGGCACAAGCATCCTTTTACATGACAAAGACGCTGCGGCTTCGGGCCCTGGAAACCGCCACTTTTGCTCGCCAAATGTATCACTTGCCCTGGCGCCTCTGCGTGGAAAAATCCATATTGTTATAGCTGTATTGCAGTTTAAGTAAGCGTTTTCAAATTCTTAAGCGACCTAGCAGCATGAAAGGCACGAAAGATGAGCTGTTCACCTCGGTTATTCCTACACGAAAAACAACGCAAGGCGCTGCGTCGTAGCATGCAAGCGGTGAGAACACACATTCAACAGGTTTATTTTGAGTAACTGCATTATAACGCGCTCAGAGACTATCCAGTCGACATTGAGCAACGATTGGTTCTGGAGCAATGCCTGCTTGCCGCTCAACCATTTCGCAGCCCCTTCTGGTTCTTTCCTTATATGTATCGTTACGTAAATTACCGCTTGAGCAAGGTCTTCTACACTGAGAGTGCACAATAGCAAATTTTACGGTGAAAGACAGGACGCCATTTGGTACTGATGCAGAAACGTTATGCAGATACATTGTGCTATAATATGTGTAGCTCATTGTAAGAAATGCTATCAACCGTTGTTTTCGGCGACGGCCTCCAACGTCTTGGACAACTAGCAAGCGGATACCTTGGCTGAAAGCGTCTCCAATGAGACGTAGTGTGTGATTAGTTGAAATTATCAGATGTGGACTGCCAGCGCAATTGGAGGTTCTAAGTTTATCGCCGTGACAACATGACAGCGGGTGGTGAGCATGCAGGTAAGAGACTGCGCTAGGATGGCTTCTACATTCAGTTGAATACATCCGGAATAATGGCCAAGGCCCGAGGTGTTGGGCATTTAGAGCTTTCGGCGATGGTTTGTGGGTTAGCCATTGTCAACCTTTTATGTTTCTCGTATGTGATCCACAGTCTTAACCACACACCATATGACCCACATTTCGGTTGGAGAACAGGGGTTAAGCAAGCTATGTGCGCGCACGTTTTCCGTCCGCCATACCTTGACGGATCCCCCACCTACCACATCGTCATAACCGGGGCTCCGAACGCTTCCCACTGTCCAAGGATTAATTAATCCACTATCCAAGGATTTATCTACATATGTACATCAGTAAGCTTCCTCTTCAGCCACCCCATACCCAAGCCACATAAGCACCGACCCACCATCCCACCCTCCGTCCTTGACACACTAACAACTCTATCTCTGCCCCCGCTACACGCCCAGGACTCCACAAGCGCTGGCTAGAACGCAAACTGGAGGTGGAGGTCGGCAAGGTGCAAGCCAAGCTCCTCTCAAAGGGCCTTACGGTTCCAGTTCCGGATCCCGAGTTGCTCGAGACCGAAGCCCGCCTCGCCCAGGCCCACCTGCCCAAGCTCTTTATAGACCTGTACGGCCGAAACCCAAATGGCACACTCAAACTTTCCCCGGACGCCAACAAACGCTCCGGCCCGGCGCAGCCCGCGACTCTCGTCCAAAAGCTGGACCGCTTGCTCAATCCGGCGGTGCTAAGTCCGCTACCACTCGACGTCGCCGTCGCACATGGGCTTCCGCTTTCCTGCTGCGACGCTGGGGACAGTGGGGCAGCGGGCAGCGGGGCTGCGGGGACCGGGCGGGGGGGTGGCGCCATCAGCCCTGTTGCTGGCATACGAGCCGGTACTGCCCAAGCAGCCGGCCCTAGCGGCCACCACCACCACCACACCGCCAAGCAGAGCAGTCACAGCAATTCCCCACCCTGGGGTGGTGGCGTAGGGTGGGGCGGGGTGGGGCCGATGGAGGCGCTGGGGGGCCCTAGGGTCAGTCGAAGTCCGCCCCAGGGTCAGGGTCAGCCCCAGCCGGCGGCGGGGGGGAGCTGCCGACCCGACCTGCAAGCGGCAGACCTGCGCATCGACGACGCCGTGTCCGAGGTGCACCGGGTGGCGCTGCAGGTGGGTGGGTGGGGTCCTGAGGGGGGTGCTGAGGGGGTCCGCAGACCACCGGGGGGGGTGTCTCCACGATGATGATGATGATGATCATGATGATAATGACCGCCACTGGCTAGACCTAGCTGGCTAGACCACCATGCATCAAATAAATGTAAATATATAATTTATGTAATTATTACATAATATACACATTATAATTACATACTACGTATTTTTAGGTGTAATACATATACATATATGGTATAGACCTCCCCCTCCACGACTTCTTCTATATGGCCATATTGTCTCTTCCTTTCCTCTACTACCTTGTTGACGTGCGCCTCCGAACCTTCCCTTTGTGCCGCGTCCTTCCCTCCCTGGACCCGCAGGCCAGTGAGATGTGCCCTCGGGAGCGGGTGCTGTACCTGGCGCGGCAGGCCAACCCAAACTTCTCTTTGCCGCATCCGCGCACCACCACCACCACCACCACCACCATGCAGCAGCAGCAGCAGCTGACGACGAACGGCCTCGGCGGGCCAAAGAGCCGACGGGACCTCTACAAGAAGAGCTTCGTCAAGCGAGGGGCCACCAACTTCACACCCGATCCAACGGCGGATGGCGGCGGTGGCGGCGGCGGCGGTAACAGAGGCCACAAGCTGCAGGTGGGTCTCCATGATTGATCCGGATGGATATCGTGAGGTGGATGGATTGGATACCAACGTGAGTGCTAGGGGAGTGCTGGAAGTGGGTTCGTGGCTGATGAGGTAGGAGAGGTTAGTTGGTTGGTAGGAGGAGATGAGATTCGTTACGGTGGGGGACTGGGGGGTTGGGGGAAAAGGAGCGGAGCCTACCAGGGGCCAGGGAGGCAGGGGCCAGGGAGGCAGGGGCCAGGGAGGCAGTCCCCCGGCGTGGGGCCCCCGGGGTGCTGGTGTCGGTCGAGTCGTGTACCGGGAGGGGCCGGACAGGGCGTAACAGCACCGCTTGAACACAGAGCGCGCGGGGTCCGGCGTGTGCCGCTGCAGGGTGGGGCAGTATCCACACGCCGCGGCGGCGGAGGGATGGCGGCGGCGCAGGACAGCCGCCACAGCCCCGAGGTCGCCGCCACGACACCCCTGGGGTCCGCGTCGCCTGGCGGCGGCTGCAGCGGCGGCGCGACTGGGGACGGATCGCTGCCGCCGCTAGGGGCACGCTCTCGGCCCGGCACCTGCCCAAGCACCGCCCACGAATGCAGCCCGGCGGCGGAGTACGACGCGGCGGCGTCCGCTGCCGCTGCAGCTGAGCTCGCAGAGGTTGTACGGATGGAGGCCACCGAGGCTGCGGAAGCGCTTCCGCGCCTGACCCCCGCCACCCTGAGTCCGATGACCGGCAGCAGCAGCGGCGAGATGACGGCGGCGGCGGCGGGAGGCGGCGAGGAGCTGTACGGCCCATCACCGCCGCCACCGCTGCCGAAACTCCCGCCCGTGCACTCGTTCGGCAGTTCGAGCACCGGGCTGAAGACCAACTCGTTGGTGAGTTTGTGATGTGGCTTGGACCGCCGCGCGGGAGGCGACGAGGCGCTGTGAATCGACCAGCTAACCGACCAGCTACCAACGGACATGTCCTAAACAGGAGGGCAAGGGAGGGGCCGGCCCCAGGGGGGATGTTTGTCCGTTTCGAAAGGCGTTCCTCAGTCGCCACTCAAGAGCGGATGTATGTCTGACACGTATGTCTGTCTGACACTTGTGTGTTTGCAGATCGGCTTGTGGGGTGCGGCCGCAGCCGTTCACGCAGCGGCGGAAATGGACGCCGCAAGAGCCGCAGCGGAGGCGCAGGAGCTGGCGGAGGCGGAAGCCGCGGAGGCGGAAGCAGAAGCGGCGGAAGCTGCAGCAGCTGCGGCGGAAGCCGCCCTGGAGGCTGAGGTGGCGGCGGAGGCGCATGCTGCGGCCGGGTTGTTATCACAGGTGGTGGCTACTGCGGGGTCGGACAGCGGCAGCAGAGGCGGCGACCGAGGCGGCTTGAGCGGGGCTGAGCACCAAGGTGGTGTTAGTAGCAATACAGTACAGCATTCGGGTCCCGGCTGGCAGTACTGATCCGGACTTGGGTGGTTGTGGGATGAGAGTGATACCGGCGGGTGTCTGGTGGTGGCGCTGCTGTCTGAAGCGGCCTGAAGGGAGGTGGCGGAGGCCGGGTCCGTCTTGCTTATCTTTATTATCACCTCGGGACGGATAGGGGGGTTGGGAGGCAAGGAAGGGGGCCGCGAAGGGATTTGGCGTCCATCGTCCCATGTGTTTTGCGTGTGTGCGGCCGTAGGTGGCCGTAGGTCGCTCCTCCTCCTCCTCCTCCTCGACGTCCTCCTCCGTCATGTGCTCAGTGCTTTTGTTGTTGTCGTGTTGCAGTTATTGCTATATTAGGAAGAGCTGTATGTACGTCACATTACCATCGCCATTGCTATCATCATCATCGCCATCATGGGGATGGTGATGAGACTACGGCAGCCGTATAGTCGTTCTTGGCCTCCCTGGCCATGGATGGAGTGACCTACCCCGACTAGGGGGGATGATCGTGAGGGCACGGAGGGGCTGTTGTCCCCCTCCCTCCCCTCCCACCACTCCCCTCCTCTGCCCTCTTTAGATCTTTGTCTTCCCTTCTTGAGGGTGAGGGAGGGAGGGAGGGAGGGAGGGAGGGCGCTGTGGCGCTCGCCTAGGGTTTGTGAGGGTGGTTGCTCTGTGTGGGTTATAATAACGGCTGTATCCTATTGATCGGAGGCGGCCTTAGTAGTAGTAACCTTGCGTTGCTGCCTAGCTGGCCGTGATTGTGCCGTGTGTGGGGGGGGTGCAGTGCAGTGCTAGGGCTCAAGCGAGCCAGCAGGGGCCCACCACAAGGGGCGGCACGATTGTTGATTGTAGCTGTAGCCAATTGCTGTGAGTGCCGCAGTGGGGCAGACTCAGAGCTTGGTTGTGTATCCGGCGCCCATCACATAACATAACATGGGGAGTGTAACGGACAAGTGTGGTGCAAAGTGTTTTGCCTCACTTTGCGTTCCTAATGCCATGGGCGGTTGGGTTTTCCCAACTTTTCTTCGGACTTTTACGCTTTGGTGTGTTGGTTCATCTTTACGACATCGTTTGAGCGCACATAGCTGTATCTGCATCAGGGCCTGTGTGAGGGCCTGTGTGAGGGGGCCTGTAGAGACCGCGGGGGGTGCGCGGCACCGGCGGTGAAGGCCAAAGCACAGTGACGTGTAGGATACGCACAGAGGGTTGTGTACGGCAGGCACTCCAGGAGAGCAAATAAATGCACATCATTAAAAATGCACCCATGCAGACAGGAATACTGTTAGTCCGTCTCGTTTATACTTTCACATATGTGCATACATACATACATATATAGAGAAATGTATGGGGTCAGGCATTTTGCTGACCAGGAACTTGAGGGTTGAGGCGCCGTTGATCCGCTAGATTTGGTTGGATGCTGGTGGTGAGTTGCTGATTCTGAAATCGGATGGGGTGAACGGATTAGGGTGCCCCTCTCGCAGGGGAGAGCAGGGAACCGCTTCGGGAAAGGGGGCCGCTGGTGAAGCTATACCACCCTGTAACAACATACAACATGTATAAATAGGGCGGATGAAGGTGATCAAGGGCCCCCGGCTATAGTGACGGACGTGCTGCGAACCGACCCGGAGTGGAAAGTTGACGCCGCCGTTGATCCGGGAGCAGATTATTCCACTGGATGCATGCTGGTGGTGGTGGCGGGTGCTGAATCCTGGAAAACACACTGAATTGGCAGAAGTCGGCAGATGGGTGAGAAGGATGAGGTGGCCAGTCTCAAGACATAGTGGGAAGATAGTGGGAAGATAGTGGCAACGGACGAAGCTATAACCTCGTACTGCATACCTGGTGGAAGGGGATGCTGTGCGGAAGCGGGGGTTAGGGAAGCGATACGGTCTTGCCTGTACGACGCTTTGCTGCGCTGGTGGCTTTGCTTCCCCTACCCTCCCATGATGATGCAGCACCCACCGGCTGCACGGTGCGGTGCTGTGCCGTACTGTGCCGTACTGTGCCTCCTCTGTGTCGATAACGAGCACAACTGTAGTACACATCCAACACACGCACATTGATGGGGGACTTGTCTTCGCAAATATTGCGTCACCTTTCCTTCGTCGCGTATCCCGGTTTTATCAATATACACAGTCACACACACAGTCACACACACATACATACATACACACACACAACTCCGGAAGGCCTCCGGTACCCCCGGTGGTGCTGATACCCGTCACAACAGCCAAGTCAACAGGGGGGGTTATCGGTGCTGCGAAATGTCAACATGTACGGCGACGCATGCACGCAGGAAGGAGCCAGGAACGAACGAACACCAACAAAGCGATAACAAACAAAGGGAAATCCAACGAGGCCACCCCGCCCCCGATATATAAATCTCTTCAACTTCACGGCTGAAGGGGTTGCGACACAGACCGCCATGGCCCGGCACGCCGCCGCCGCCGCTGCCCCCCAGGTGCAGTGTGGACACATGCGTCGTCACGGGGCGGGGCGGGGCGCCTGCTGTGTACGGCCCCCCGACAGCGCTGCACCTCTGGTAGGCCGTCAGGTGGAAGACAACACCAACCTCAAGGTACGACACACATCCAACTGTCACGGGGTTACCAGGACGTTCCGTACATACGGCCTTCACAAGCGAGTAAGGTAGTTCGTTGGGTTTTGTTTTTCGGTAATAATGTTCACACCGGGCTGGGCCGGCATACATGCATACATATGCAACGACACGTATGAACATACATACAGCTAATCCAGCGCATCGGTAGTTCGCAAATTAATGAATATTAGATCCTCTCGCCACTGTCGTACGTTGCAGTACGCCTGCCGGTCATTTATCACAGCGCTTTCAACCACGCGGTTCTTCTCTGCCTACCTAATGACTACTTGCCAACTTGGCAGAGCCAGCATCACCCCCAGGGCAACTGCACCCCCTCCCGCCCTCTACATTCCTATTTTATTACGGCCCCTGCGGGGAAGGGGGAGGGGGAGTCCGACCTCCCCCGGGGGGCCGTTGAATCCCATCATGATGACAAAGACAGTGTCGCTTTGCCCCACATGCCTCAATGAGGTTCCTCATCACGGTTTAACTCGGGCACCACCTCAAAACCACCCATCCCCGTGAGCTCAGGCTGTACAGGGGTACTTCGCATGACCACATGGGGCTACGGCAGTGATGATGGGGTCGAGGACCGCCCGACCCGCCAGCCACCACGACCACATACATGGCCCCAGCGGGGTAGCCGTCGGTGGCTGCAGCCCACGCCACAAAACGCACAAAGCAAGGGGCCCTCCACCTTTTTTATTAAATGCAACTGGAGAATATTGGTTTGGAGGCTACTTATTTGTTTTATTATGCAGGCAGTGCATGCTGACAGTGCGGGTGACATGCGAAGTCCACACCACCACGGCACAGTTCACAAAGGGTGTGTGGGGGGGGAAGGGGCCGTCATGTGCGGGTGTGGACCTCCAGCCGGTGTGACGCACCGGCACCCGCACCAATGAACCCTAAGACCACACACCACCCGGGCCTCCGCTCCGCTATCCCCACTTCCTCCCCCCCTCCCCCCCCCCTCCTCCTCATAATAACACCCAAATGGATGAATCAAAGCAAATCCAGCCAGTAGCCCCCAAGGTTCAATTGGGCTTCATGCCAAACCACCCGGGCACGCGGGGCGGAGACAGCGACTCAGCTGTGCAGCCAGCACTACCCGGCACTATCCAGCCAGTAGCCCCCACTACCCCCCATACATACATACATACACTGCCGGGGAACCCCCTCCGACAGGCCGCTCTCTCTCTGCCCTCTCGGCCCCTCTGTTGCCCATCTCCCCTTCTCAAGGGAGCAACAGGACAACACGCAAATAACCACATCCGGAAACTCGCTCGCCCGTACGTTCTTGCTGTATTGTTGCACACGCCGCCCATGCCAGCGCCTGCCGGTAGCACACTTCCATCCCCAGTACCACACCGCTTGCAGTCGCCGCCGCAATTCCGCATTCCACCATCAACCCCTCTCCTCCGCTGCGTGCGTCACCCCCTCACCCCGCCGCCGGGGTAACGCCGAATGCAGTACGCACCCCCGTCCAGACGCCCGCTGGAGTGGAGGTCCCTTCCCGCTGCGGGCCCCCTAAGCCCACCTACCCGCCGCCGCCGCCGCCGCAGCCACCGCCGTGACCCCGTGAGCGAGTATCGCTCCAGGGCAGGGTGGTGCAGACTGCTGCTCCCGCATGCGCACCCCGCGCTGTCTCGTGAGCTGCTGCAGCTCCTCCAACGCCCACACCACAACCCGGGGCCTGCGCCACCGTAGCCGTAACCGTCTTCGTGGCCTGACGAAGCACCGCACTGCCGCACACCGGGATGGCGGCGACACTCCCCTCGACCGACCAACCGACTGACCGAGCCTGCTGTCACCGGGCTGGCTGTTGCCATTATTATTGCTGTTGTTGTTGACGGGGTGTTACAATGTGGCAGCTCGTCCTGAGAAAGGACGAGCAACGGGGGCCCCTGACCGGACAGAAACACAGCGCAGGGCAGGGCGCGCGGCTGTGCATTCGTCCGTCCGTCCGTCCATTGTTGTTGTAGTAGTTGTTGTCCACGCTGTGCGTTGCTATCATTGCGCCATCTGGGTCACTGCCACCACCGCCACCACCAGCACCACCAGCACCAGCACCAGCACCACAAGCAGCACTAGCGCTCGGATGCCCCTGTTGTTGTTGTTGTTGCCCAGATGGCCCGGGAGACAGCGCGCGCCTGGGCGTCCCCCCCCCGCCGCCGCTGCCGGCACGGCAGTAGCCCCAGCTGGCCTCCAACTCGCCAACCGCCCCCAACAAGCCCCCGGGGAACGTAGTCGTCGTGTGGAGGCCGTACAGTGGCTCGAGGGCGGGAGTGGATGAAGCGGCTCTGGGGACTGGTGGCGGCGGTTGCCGGGAGGACGGGAGGACGGGACAGCAATGGGGCGGTTGCCGGGAGATACACCTCCAGCATACCCATACCTGGAGTCAACGAAACGCAGCAACGCCACCCTTTGTGCTCCTCCCTTTCTTCCCACCAACACTGGTAGTGCTATACCAACCCAACCGCACCACTGCCCTCCTCTCCCCTTCTTTCCCACGCGCCCACCTCCATGTGGCGACCTAACAACAGGCTAGGGGACACACACCCGCCGCGGGACTTACACGCAGCTCCGCCTTCGCGATCGACAGCGCTGTGAGCTCAGGGTACGGCAGTGGCGGGCGCCCCGCCGCCGACAGCAGCGAAACTACGGGGGGGCTATCGGCGCAGCTCTCTTCTATCTCCCCCTCCACCTCCTCCTCCCGCTGCTTGTGCTTCTGCTGTGACTTTCTGGCCATGAGCTCTTCTTCTTCTCCTTCGTCTCTGGGCAGCAGGGGCTGTTCCATAGGGGTCCGTGAGGGAGCGGTGGAGTGGCAGGAGCTCTTCTGGTGGAGGGACTGGTGCATCCAGATCGGAGGGGGTGGGCGGTAGGAGTACTGCGGTGTCAGTCTGTGCAAACATCTGTGTGATGAGCAAACGGTGATGCCGCTGCTGTGGCTGGTGGGGAGGGAGAGGTCGGGACCGGTGCGATGGCGGAACGCCTGTGGGGCTGTATGTATGTCTGAAAGAGCAAAGCTGTCTTCAAGCTGCCCTCTGTGCCAACCTCCGTGGCCTCTTCACCTCTGTTGTCCCCCTCGATCCCTCAAGAGCCCGCAGCCCCCTCTCCTACTGGGAGGCACCTCGTCAGGTCAATCCCCATCCACCACCCCCCATCACCACAACCATCGCATGCAACCATCGCGGCAACCCCCGCCGGCTGCGAACAATGGTGCCGTTGCGAACCCATACCGCCCCGTTTGGGGACTCCAAACCCAACACTCATCACTCACCAAGCGCGCCTCTAAGCAGCCCGCTGTCGTCACCTTTCCGTCTCCACCTGCCCTGCACGCCTGGACCGGTGCCAGCACCGCTCCGCCGGCCAGGGCTTGGCGCCGACGCCACCTCAGGCGCGAGGCCATGCGATAGGCCGGTATGTCCGATGCTGCCTGAACCCCCTCCAGCACTGCGCACTCCGTGCTTTGGCACAGCTTCCGTGCGAATTCCCCAGTGGGGTGGCCGCCTATGCTCAAGGCCAGCAAGCTGGTGGCAGCGGTGACTGCGTCCGAAGGTCCCAGCGCCCTGGCGCCCTCAACCTGGGCGAGGTCGCGGCGCCGTATGGGCGCTGAGTCATATGGGCGCGGCAATGAACAGACCACTGCTCGGTTTGCTGTTGCTACAGAAGGTGGTGTGGGGCCTGCGTTGGCTGCGTGGAGAAGGAAGTCAGTCGGCGGAGGCACTGCAGCAGCAGAAGGGCTTGTGGCTGTGGGTGTGGCTGTGGCAGCGGTTGCGATGTGGCCGTTGCACGTATTCAGGGTTCCACCTGGGGAGGGGACAAGATGGATAGACGGGAAGACGACGGAGGCCCCACAGCGGGAGGTGAGGTACCGGCTCAGTTGTGTGTCATCAGTGGTGCAGTTTTGCTGCACAGCGTGGGGTCGGGGAACGGCAAGCGGCAAGCAATCGCGGCACAGCCCATGTCTAGGCAAGTCACCACGACGGGCGCCTGCCGCGTTCCGGAGCTTTGGCGCCCAACCGTATAATGATAACGAATGTTTATAGAATGATAAAGAAGTGGGTTAAGAGGGTTCAATCCACCTTGATTGTGATGGTCAGTAGGCAGAGCGGGCTCCAGTGGAGGGAATGTGTCCATAGATGGGTGTGTGGCTGGAGCAGAGCCGTCGTCTCCATTGAAACCCTCGCCATGAAAGCTGTCATTAGATGATGCGGCGCAGGGATTGCATCTGTCGCTGGCATAACCCTGTTTGCAGGTGACCGACAAAGACAGACGCGCCGTACCGTGCACCGTAAGTGCTGACGTCGCGCTAGCCCGCAGAGCCGGGCGGTAAGACGTCTCTGTGCGTTGTCGTCTCTCACGAGCATGCCTGACCCGATACAGAGTCTGTTCTCGTATGCTTGAGCCCAATACATGGGCAGGTGCGCCAATCAGCTCCGCGAGCACGACACGACGATGCATAGCATCTAGCAGCGGATAAGGAGATACAAACTGTGCATCTGCAAGCTCAAGCATATCCGTCTCCCTTGCAGCTGCCGCACCCATGTATCATTGCGCCCAAGCAAATAATGTAGACATTTTTTTCTGGACAATTAATACTTCAGCGACCTGCATTTTCACCCAAGTACTAATTTTTGTATTCTGCCAGGTCCGGGCAAGGACTCGACGTTCGCAATCCCGTGAAGTGGCTGGAGTGAAACAGATCTGAGTAAATGGAAAAATGGCTTAGCTGGAGAGCGCATTTATGCATATCCTGATGCATTACCGCTGCATTAGAGGTAGACCTCTCGGTATTAAACGGTACAACACCAAAGCAAAAATGAAAAACCTCGTATGAATCTTGACGTAGAAAATTTTGTGTATTCCTTTTGGTTCCGATAAAACGCGTACCCGTTCATAGTGGTGATTGCAGTCGAGAGGTAGCGGTATACGTACCGAGGTTTTGCGTACAGAAGCAGGTCCCCAATAAGCAGTTCCCCCATGCTCTTACAACTGATTACAGCATATAGGCACAGCATTGGGATGAGCTGGAGGGCTAAATGGAAAGGTTACTCCGGTGGCACTCACTGGGGTAATCCCCTTTGTAACAGTTAAGAGGGAACGAGCTGTAACCTTTCCAGCTTTAGGCTCCCCAGCTTTAGGCTCTCCAGCTTTAGGCTATTACGCTGTGTGGTCGTATTGCCTTACATTCAACATGCTGCTGCCACCTAAAGATGGCCCGCTTTCTGTGCTTCGCTATCACCTCAGCAATAGATAACCATCACCTACCATAACCCTTTGCCACGAGAACATGCCATCCATGTCCTGCCTCTTTGCTGACCTCGGTCCTGCCACAGCAGATCTACAAAGCTATCAGCTTGGTGCACATGCAGATTGCACGGAATCTCTAGGCTCTTGCCTTTATTAGTCCTTGCCTTTATCTCCTAATCTTGTAACACAGCGATGTGCTGAGGTTGTATGCAATACGTGCTCAAACAACAGCATCACTTCCATTCGTTACTTAGAGCCGGTACAGGGCTAATTTACAATTATAACAAGAAAGCCCCGCAACGAAGCACGCACCACACTTGTGATACTTTCGCCGCTCACAAGACCGCTGCGCATTCCAAGAGACGGCACGCTGCTCTGCCACAGCCGCCAGGCAAAAGCATTACGAACAACGCGTCCACAAAAGCCAAATACACAAGGTACCTCCGTTGCACCCGACATCCTCTCAGAGCCGCAGCAGCCAGGATCACGGCCCCCGGGGCTCGCGGCCAGCCGCGCAGGACTCCCCATAAGCTGTCCTAAACCGCCCTGGAAACCCCACCGGGAGCCACGGGGGTAAGAGGTTAAGAAACGCGTTGTTCGAGTCCCGAGAGCTCCTGCACAATTCGGCCAGGACTGCGTCATGGTGCAGCTCACAACTTCTTCACACGGCCGGCAACTATCACACCATATCCACATCACATCATGTTACAACAACCGCATCTGCGACTTCAGCCGCCAGCACTAAGATCAGCAACCGCTGCCCCAAGGGACGACGCCGACAAAGTCACGACGGCACGCAAGCAACAGCACGGGGGGCACAGTCGCCCGCATATTATCAAAAGTACAGAACAGGTGCAGGGAGTGCACCCTGCGGTGCCACCGCACAGAGACAAGAAGATCATCATCATCATCATCTTATGAACGGCACCAGCAGCAGCGCCGGCGACGTGCTGCACACAAGCGGGGGCAGAACCACACAGGTACAAGCGGGCAAGGAGAGCACAGTTACTCTCTCCCCTCTTATACAGTTCTGGCCACCTGCACGCCACCTTAGCAGAGGTGACTGCATAAGCGGGGAGGCCGGCGACGGGGCACAAACGACCCAAGCCAACATCCAGTTGCAGAACTCTTAACAGCCCACCGATGCTCGTCCCCCCGGTGTTTCCCACGGAGCCACAGGCAGATCCCGAAACCCACATCATGCCTGAAGACCACCCTGTGCAGTGGAAAGCGAAACTGGCAGTCAGGCACCCATCGAGAACAAGCTACCGGGATTTCGCCCCATCCCCGTCAGTGTGTCCGGAAAGTTGTACAAACCCCAAAGCGCGCGGCACGCTCTTACGACCCTCCTGATTCTGAAATACATGACACCCGCGCGTTACGGCAACAATGTCACCGCGTACTGCTTTTCTTTTTGCTACAAATACACTACGGCCAAAATGACATCTGCACGCCCTTCACCGCCACGCCCTTCCTTTTCTTATGCAACCACCACGACAAACCTCTTGCCATCAACACAAATGACGCCTTACAAATAACAACCTACACATTACCTGACATACAAACTGACAACGAAAGAAGCAAACCTAGTTTCCAAGCCAGCACCACGAAACCAGCCGACCAGGGAAAAAGGCGGGCTTCCTGGATGGCATCCTTGCCATTACAAGGTTCTAGCAAAAGCTGTTCCCATCATCGGGCTTGAACGGCCGACAGCGCCTTGTCGGCGGTTCAGATGTTGTCTACGCTGCTGGTGCTCCTGCTGCTGCAAGCACCCCAAGAGAAGGCTAGCTGCAAAAGCTGTCCCGCAAACCGCGCACGACCACGAGTCAAAACGCCACACAACAACACACCGCCTGCGATTATAAACGGCGCTAACGCTAACCTCAACCGATGGCAACCAACTGCGCAGACCGGAGAGAAACAAAGACGCCCAAGCGCCTGCCTGTCAAGGCAGGTGCAGGTAGCCCTTGGCATACGCAGAAAAAACCTCACCGTCTCGCAAAAAACTCGCATTCACATGGGACTGCCGGAGCTCAAAGCTCAACACCAGGGCGAGCTGACAAACCGTAGTGCACCGTAGTACAAATCCTGAATACCCCCCCATAGGACCTCCAGCCGGATCCAGACTGGCCTTAACAAGCATCCCCTCTTCCTAGTATGGGTCTGGGGCCCGAGAGCCTGACTGTCCGAATTGCTTCATGCTTCAGATCACTCCCATCCGTTCTCACAGCGCTGGGCGTTCCAGTAGTGGAAAAGAAAAGCTGATTCCCGCGGCGGGCCTGATGCTTGTTTCTGGAGCCACTCTCCCCTAGCCTTCCCCAACACTGCAGAAGGGCCGCCTCTGTGCACCTCTCTGCGCAGGCCGGCCACCCGGCTCTGGTCCCCTTACATGCCGAATGGCAGGGTTGGAGATGTCGGAACCTCCAAAAGCGCCTGGTCTTGATCCTTGCGTGCTACGCCATTGGCGGGTGGCGCTGCCTGTCTGCCGCCCAGCCTGCTGGCTGGCACGCTTACAGCAGCAAACATTCCGCAGGTTATCAACGCAGCAAACATGGCAACGATAACTACTTGGGTAGCACATTGAAAGCCGACAACAACCAGCCAGCCAAGCGCGGTGCCTTCGTTCCAAGGGCCGCACATCAGTACACCAGTACGTCAGTATACCAGTACCATCTACCAGCAGCAGCTGAAACTCCCAAGGGAGAAAGGGGGGAGTACGCCCGGCAACGCTCGTGCGCGCCCGCCCGCTCGGCTGCACGTGTCGCCATACCTGTCAATCCTGCACAACTGTCTGTCCGCTGTGGAGTAGAGGAGGTAGCTACACACAGATAATCCACCTGGCGCGCAATTCACCCCTTAGCCCTTACCAACTTTACCCCTACCAGCCGTTCCGTTACGACTGCAGGTCTCGTGCAGGTCGCGGGCTCTCTTGTCGCGGTGGGCTGCAGGTCACAGTGGGCAGTGCGTTTCCGCCGACTCCACCCCAGGTCCGCCGCTAGCTCGCTGCCTAGAGTGGTGGTGAATATGGTGAATAGCATCCGCTGTGTGGCTGCTCACCCGCACATCAGTATCATAGCAATGACGTGGCCGCTGGAAGCGATCATCCGTCATCGCGCAGGGACCCATGACGTGCGCAGGCAGGGTACACTCAGGGGCCTCAGGGGCCTTCCTTACTCCGCAATCCTGAACTCAACGCCCATCCATTCCTTCATCTGCTCGTACGTCACAAACGCAATTGCTATCGATGGCACAACTTTCAGGTAGTTCGGCCACAGCCCCTGCAAGGCAATTGAGCGCATGGAGCGGAAGAGGACCGCTTAAGGGTTGCGAAGAGGGCAGAGGTTGGCCGTTTAACGCCATGCGCATGCGGACCCCCAATCCCTTCAGGCCCACCCAGAGGATCACCAGAGCCGGGCACACCGGTACGCAATAGTAAACAATTCATATCCTCCTCACATCCTCACATATGCCGCCCCCATTTCGCCATTTATACCTTAAAGAGCGCCTGGACGCCCTCCTCCCGCACCGTCCGCACAAAGCAGTCCACCATTCCCCGGTACACCACCACGTCACCCGCGTGGCTGTGCAGGTCCTTAGCGCCCTGCCACCCAGACATCTGCGCAGCGGTGGGGATCAAATCCAGAACAGATGCCAGAACACATAAGCCCGAGTGTATACGTGGCCGTGGATACATTTGCCCACCTGCATCGCCAACCTGGCGCTCAGGATAGCGCTTGGCTGCTTTGCATATCTGTGCGCAGTCAGCCGCCACTGTCAACAGCGCACAACCGCAGCCGTTTAAATGCCCATGTTTGCCGCCTTGCCCCCTGGCGAATGCACTACAAGGCCCGCTACCCCCGTGAGTGACGTACATACATACATACATACCTGCAGGCGACGTCGCGCCACGTCGAAGGGGTACGCCACCGTCTGACCCATCGACCCCGCCATGGCGCCGCATCCCAGCCTCGTCACGATGCTTAGCTCGCGCTCGTCCCGCATCCCTTCAGGTGTTGTTGAGCAAGGGGGCGGGGGAGGGAGCGGCCCAGCAACGAGTACCAGGGATGCGTTTGTCGTGATACCATGATGTCGCACTTGCAGCAATGGAAGGCAGCAGCTGGGCGGTGCTTGCTAAAGTTCGAGGGCTCGCCGTGGTAGCAACAGAAAGTCCCACCCAAGAGCTTAACGAACCCCATAGTAACGGCGCACAAGAAGAGCTTGAGCCCACAACCTTTACCGTCTTTACCCTATGCCCATTAAGAACCTTAAGGGAAGGGAGGCCAGGGTAAAAAGGCCAAGGCACACAGCCAAGTAAGGAGAGACACACCGGTCTGCACAGGTGTGCCTACACCACCGGTGACCATCCGACTGGTAGCTCACCGTACTGCTTCATGAGCCCCGCCTTCAGGGTTTCGTACACTGCAAAGTTGAGACCCACGTAGGGCACCACGCCGATGACGCTGGGAAGCCATCCCCGGTACAGCGCCAGAGGGCCCTCCTGCGTTGTAATACGGTGGTATGTGACCTTACAGTACATCACAGCAGTCCAAGGGATTGCGGCCTGGCCACGTACATCATCGCAACTGTCCAATACATAGCGGCCTTGCCGCGACGTACATCGCAACATTCTGAAATGCAACAGGACCGGGTACAGGTCTCTCCTCTGAGAGGGAGAGCGGCCGCCGAACTCCCCCAGTCAGTCCCCCAAGCTGGCGATTGGAAACCCACGAGGGTCGCCATCCCTGGAGCGTGCAGGAGACATGCCACCCTCTTCAAGCCCATCCCAACACTTACCTGTGAAACAATCATCCGCGTCGCATGCACGATACCCCGGTACTGCTGGTTGCGTCCCTCCTGCACCGTGAGCCGACCGCGAACCATGTCCAGTGGGTATGTCGCGCTCATTGCGATGATCCCCGCACAGGCGCCGGCCAGCAGGCGCAGCGTGGGCGTCAACTCGCCGCTTCCTGTAGTTGACCGGTAGTGGTCTGACATTTCCCTGGAGTGGAGATGGCAGTAATGCCGGCAGTGGTTGAGGGGAGGCCATCTAGCGGACGTATTTGGTAGAGAGAAGTTTACCTAAGCAGGCGGGGGTGTTGTACAATGTACACTATCCGAACGGCCCACAAGCAGCGCAGGCGACTGGTATGGACCATCCCGGACCGACCTGCTTAGCTGCTCGTAAGTCAAGAACTTCACCGCAGAGTTTGGTATGATGCGGACGCAATTCGTCCAGTTGCCCTTCATCATTCCCCGCACGCCTTCCGTCCGCGCCATATGAACAAGCCCCTGCAAGGCGAGAGCAAGCTCATACCTTGTAACGCTGATCTACATCACGTTGTTAAGATCACACCTACCAACATAAACCACCGCCGCCCGATCCAAGTCGATGTCAAGGATAGGCTCACCTGCCAAACCCCACGGTAAATCTTTTCATTACCCTGGACCTGCATAAGAATTTTTAGACGTTCTAGCGGAGCCACAGCCGTCCGCGACCTGCATCCGTCAGATGAGACGTTCTTAGGCTTTGTAAAGCAGTAAACAGGTCCTGGGTTGAAGCAAGCATATCTTCCTCTAAACTTACAAGCCACCGGCAACTCCCCCTGCTACTAGTGATTTGCATAACGAAGCGAACGAAGGGCGCGTTCCCGGCATCGCTGTTGGGGGCTGCTGCGACGCCCGCTGTTGATTAGCCCCATCCTCCACACAGTTGCTCATGCTCAATGTTGCAGCAGCTGACATATCGCAGCCACAGCTGTAAGCAGGCTCTGAACAGGTCAGTCTCGTAGAACCTGTGTTTCTGGCCGCTAGACGGGAGCCTGCTTAACCGTCAGCGGCTCTCCTAAGCGCAAGCTACGTGCTAAGAGGGCTGCAGAGAGCACCGCAGCAGCGCTCCACTGGCAGCACTAAACCACAGGGACCAACATATTGTAAGATGGTACACTACGCGATATGATTTGATTTAGCAGCACCGGACGATAGAGAATGTAATGCAATAATTGGATTACAAAAACACCATGTTGTCACTGCCAAATAAGCAAAAATCCATGAGATGGCCGTGTGGGCATGAGGGCTAAATCTCCAACTCCGAAGCCAACACACCGTAACCTGAACCCATAATCAGATAAACATAAATGCTTTGCTAATATGTTGCCACTCCCAACCACTGATCCGTACGCGACGGCGATGTCCCACGCCCTTGGCCACGCCACAATGTCAGGTCGTTCCGCCCTGGTCATCGCGCAGATCAAACAGGGCCCCAAGAAAGCCAATACTTTCCATGGATGTCACTTTGAGCCAATAAAGTCAGGGTGTTCCGAGAAGTAAAAAGTACGGCTGTCGTGCCGTACAGGACGCGCTAGAGGTTTAGATCCTAGTCGCAGCAGCGCTTCCTCCACACGGCCCATGGGCTCTTGGCGCTCTCCAGCCGGCTTGCGGCTCCTGCCTGACGCGGAGCCCGTTGGGGCATCGTCTTCAGCCTGCTGCATCAACGGAAATGCATGTTAGTGAGCAACGTCTATATCAACACGTTGTTACACAAGCCCCCCTAGCTCCCCCCTTCGCCCTCGCCGTCATTCCATCCTCTCCCCCAACCCCCACTCCCCATCCCCCTGCGCACTGCACCTAATCGTCATGCCTCCGCAACTCATAGTCGCCAATACGGCACCCGGCGCGAGCCACCACATTCGAACGACATCCTGCACGCTGTCGAACCCCTAACTCATCTTGTGTATTAACCCTTGATGCACCAACTCCCCTCCCGAACCCCGATGGAAATGCAGTAAAAGTAGCAGTATGAACAATTGAAAGTACCCACCCAACGGATGTCGTACAACCCACACGTACGACCGACTAACAACGACATGCCCGTTGACAGAAGATTGGCATGGTGGATTAATTAGTAGCTCGTAAGTATACAGATGCCGTACCTGCTGCGTGCCGGTGTATCCCCCAAGCAGGTTGTTCCGTGTGGCGGTGGCGGTGTCGAGCGACTGCAGCAGCCACGAGGGCGGTGGAGCCAAAGGAAGCGGCGGGATGTCCAGGAGGGGGTCGACGACTCGCTCCCGCTCCGCCGCCAAGCCGTACACCTGTCGGAGACTGGTGGAGGCGGGGGCCCTGCCGCCAGCAGCTCTCCGCGCCGCCGCCGCCGCTGCAGCTGCGGCTGGAGCAGCCACCTTCGAGGGGGAGCGGAGGGGCGTTCCCCTCCGAGCGGTGGTGGTGGTGGCGGTGGCGGCGGTGGTGTTAACTCCCGCCTCATCACGGCGGCGGCGGGCTGGGGCCCCCTCCGCCCTCAGAAGACCGGTCCCGCTGCCGACAGCCGCCGACTGTATGCGGACCGATGAAGAGTGAGGCAGGCGGAATACGAGAGCGGCATGCTTACTACCCCCTCACCGCCTCACACCCGCACAACCTCCACCACCAACCCAGGGTGGCTGAAGAATGTCGCCAGGAGGAGGAGGAGGAGGAGGAGGAGGAGGAGGTGAAACGAAGTAGGCCCGGAAGGGGGAGGAGAGTTAGGATTCAGCTGCCTGCATCATCACCGGCCTACAACCCCACAACCCCTCCCAGCCACCAACTGACTGACACCTTCCCCCACCTCCCAGCCCCATACACACATCGTGTCACCACCACCACCACCACCACCACCTCGAGGAGGAGGAGGAGGAGGAGCGGAAGGGGAGGGGCTTCCAGGAGGGAGGGCTTCACCTTCAGCGGGTAGCCCAGATCATCCGCGTCTTCAATACCCCAGGGATCCTCCTCGTCGCTGCTACTGTCCCACGGGTCGCTCCCAGCCGCCGCTGCCGCTCCTCCAGGGCCACTTCCACTGCGGCGGCTCCGCAGCGCAGCCTGAGGGAACGCCGCTGGCGGCGCCGCTGCCATCGTACCCATGTATGAGGCGGCCTTATCGCCCCCAGGCTCCTCCTCCTCCTTGCCGTGACCATCGTCATCATCGGCGCCATCATCATCGTCGTCGCCAGATAGCAATCCGAACCTGTCCAGGAAGGCTACCGCCCCTCCGGTCCCCCGAGCCACGAGGGAGCCAGCATTCCCCCGGCCGCCACCGCCGCCGCCGCCGCCACTGCTGCGGACACCGCTACCCAGTACGGCAACCACAGAGTGCTCCGAAAGCAATTGGCCGGAGCCGGCAGCAGCAGTTGCCGTACTCGTGGGCGCCGCCGCCGCGGTGTCCGTACTTTGTGCTGGGGGTGTTGCCGCAACAGTGAGTGCAATGTGCGCCGCCGTCATCATATTTGCCGTCATGCTGGGTACGGCAGAGGTACGGGGGGGTGGTGCAATTGGCGGCGGGGTAGTGTTGTCCAACAGCGGGATTTCCGTGGCGACGTGGCCAACGGCAGAGACATGTACGGCAGTAGCGACTGTGCGTCCAATCTGAGTGCCTCCCCAATTTTGCGCTGTTGTTGTACGGGTACCGCCGCCGCCGCTGTCGTACTTGCCGGCGGCGCCGCTGTGCATCTCAAACCGCTGTGCTCGCGTCGATGCCGGCCCGCCTGCACGTGATGCAACCCTAGTCCGCTGCGTCGTGCCGCTGCTGGCTGCTGTTTCCCCAAATGCCGTCGCCGCCTGCACCGCAGCGGCACCGACTGCCGCCGCCGCCAGAAGCGCCTCCGTGCGCTCCGCGTGGCTCTCCCTGCGCCACGGCGGCGGCGGCTTTTGTGGCGGCTCCGCCGATATGGCCGTGGCGTCGCCGGTGCCACTCCCGTTGCTCCGCCCATCCTCTGCTCCGCCCTGCTCGGCGGTGGCGCGAGCTCGGCCGTGGCTGCGGCGGCGGCGGCTTGCCGTGGCGGCCGCAACGGAGGAGGCCCACGTACCTGATAAGTCCCGTCCGGCAATCTCCGGCTGCTGCAGGCGCCGCACCCGGCCCGTGTACGGCACTTCATTGGGCAAGCGCATCATGGCGGTTGCGGCGCGTGTCACTGCTGCCGGCCGCGGTTGCGGTTGCGGTTGCGGTGGTGGTGGCAGAGGGTTTGCAGGTGCTTTTGATGCTGCTGATCTCGCCGCCGCCGCGGCCTCCGTGTCTTCCTGTGCCCCATCTGTCTGAGCCGTCGCTGCCGGCCCCCCCGGCGACATCACTAACGCCGGTTGTTGTACAGCGTCATCGTGGTGGTGTCGCCTCCTTCCGCCCGCCGCTTCATTACCCGGCTGCAGGTCTGGACGCCGCAGCAGGTCCACCGCCGCCGCCGCGCTGTGGCCCAGCCCTGACGGCGCCGCCATGGACCCCTGATGATGGAGAAGGACATTGTTGTCATCACTCGCTCACTAGCTCGCCCACCACTGTGAGGTGCGCTATGACGACAGGTCAGCGGCGGGTGCGGCGGATGCTATATATACATCTAGTGACACCTACCTTCGTCATTTATGTCACATCCTTACAGCCCCCTCTCCTCCACCTCCACCTCCACCTCTACTCAGGAAATACTGCGTCATAGCGTCATCGCGTCATCATCATGATCTGATCTGATCACTGTTTGGATCTGTCCTGCAGGATTCCCCCCTCCTCTCTCTCTCTCTCTCCCTGACGTCATCCTCCAAGTCGCAAACACATTCATCTCTCCCCCCAACCGGCATACCGTACCTGCGGACCACAAGCCGCCGGCCGCACCACCAACAGAGCTGGATGGCCATGCCCGTGCTCGCTGCCGTACGACGTCATTGCCGTACTGGCGGTAATGCATCACTACAAGCCCCGCCGCCTGATTTTCTTGGGCCGTCACCGGGGCCACCATCGCCACCTTTTGTGGTGGGGGGGGGAGGGGCGGGGGGGGGCCCGTAGGGTATTTCCCGGGGAGGGGGAGGGGGAGAGGGGAGGGGGATCTCTGAATAAAGCCCACCGGTATTATCCTTAACGAACATACCGGTCAGCCGTTGTCTATTAGAAACCCTTTCCTGTCTTTATCAGGATACAAACCTGATCAGAGTGAAGAATGGAGTTTGCCCCGGATTCGCATCCGGATCCAGAATCCGCCTCAGCTGCCGAGTCAACTGGCGCCGCCGTCATGCCGTACTGCTCCTCGCCGTCCGCGTCATAGCTGCCCATATCTCCCCCGCCGCCACCATGGCCGTCCTCGCCATCCTCTTCTTCCGCAACGCCCTCATCGTACAAGTAATGTCCGACGCTGCCGTACGAACTGCTTGCGACAGGGGACAGCACCGGTATAGCTACTGCAGAGGGAACACATGGCGCATGTGGGCCATTACCGTACTTATGTACGGCAAAATGGCTGCCGTACTCATCCTCCGCGGCGGCGATGGCGGCTCGTCCGGCAGCGGTGCAGAGCTCCAACTCTTGCAGCGCTTCAGCCAGTTCCGCCGTACACGCTGCCCCTGCGAGACCAGAGGCCTTAGCGACTCCGTACGGCATGTCTTGCCACTGAACCGCCGCCACCGCCGCCGCCGCCGCTGTGTCAGGGCCATCCGCGGTCTGCAGCTCGTGCGGCAAGTAGGCTCCTAGCTCATGGATGCCCAACTACAAGCGGTACGAGGTTCAGTACGGCATACAATAGGGGGCCACGGCGGGCGTCAGCGCGTACGTACGTACGTACAAACCGGAGCGGCAGAACTCTGCGGCAGTACTCATCCCCTTGCAGCACTCCCCCCCCAGCTCCGTTCCCCGGCCCGGAGACCTGCGCTTCCCA